AACAATGGCCTTTCAATGGTTTATTTTGCATAGTCAGTTAAGTGTGTCTGATACCTGGTTAATTGTCCTTAACTGCTTGTTAAAAGTCCTAAACAAAAGAGCTATACAAATGATAATTAACCTCCTTGGCACAAGCTATCAGTCCTTTCAAACTGGGCTGTCTAACATGCTATATAGACGTTTTTAAAGCTAAGTTCACATGTCACAAGTCTCCAAAGTGGTTAGTAAGACAAATTTTATTTGGTTTTATGCCATTTGAAGCCCCATTTGTGTCTACTCTCAGAATGAAACCAAGGACCTTTTGTTTATTAAGCAAGTGTGTAAACCCCTACACCTACACTATAGAGCCACAGACTGATGAAAACCTTTTCTACTCCACAACTCTCTAGTTTTCTGCTTGATTTAAATCAGTTACCGTTTGTCTTTCAGTGCTGGTGTTTATGTATCTGTGGAGGAAGAGACGTGCCACAGAAATAACGTTTAAAGTTTCCTTCCTGTCTCTGCTGGCTGGCTGACTGACAGTCTTCACGGAGTTGCTGTACTAAAAGTTGATTTTTCCAGTTGTTATATATTTTTTGTACTTTCATATATTTTTCATGAGTCATATAAACATAAAACTAATTAAGGCTTTTCTTGAAATGTTGAATTATTTTGTTCAAGCACTATCCTATTAAAGATTTTTCTGATATCTGCTTTTGTGATAGTTCTCTGACTGAACCAATTGTTGGAATTGTATATTTCAGACAAAATTACATGTCTTAGACTTTTACATTGTATGTCAAACCTTTTGCATGTTTAGAACAATAAGAGTTATTGTAATAGATAGTATGTTACTTCTCTTTCTCTTAAGTGAAAGTCACATATGTACTTTTTGGCTCTAAAGCCATATAAAGCCTTTCTACATGCTATCTGTCTATTTGGAGATAGATGGAGTACTGGATTGGGCTCCCTTTTGGCCTCAGAACTGCTTTAATTCTTCATGATACAGATTCAACAAGATGCTGGAAACATTTCTCTGAGATTTTGCTCCATGATATCATTGCAAGGTTACTGCAGTGGACATGAAGGGTTGGACATGGTCAGCATGAATACTGTGTTTAAAGGTTTTTAAACAATACCCAGGTTTAAAGTTTGCCAAAGAAATATTCCCAACACCATTACACTGTCTCCACCATCCCAAACCACTGATACAAGGCAGGATGGATGGATGCTTTCATGTTATTTACACTAAATTCAGAGTCTGAAACATGGAGTATTTTGACACAAGGACACACACATATACACCAAACACACAGAGAGGGACACACAGGACAAAGACACAAGGGGAACCCAAATGTGCAAGAAAGTAACATGGAATAAACTCGGGACTAACTAAATGAAGCATAAAAAATAAACCATAATCCATGGGGCGATCGTGGCTCATGAGTTGTCAGTTCGTTTTGTAATCTGAAGGTTGCCGGTTCCAGCCCCGGCTCCGATAGTCTCGGTTGTTGTGTCCTTGGGCACGACACTTCACCTGTTGCCTAGTGGTGGTGGTCAGCGCGCCCTGTCAGGACAGCTGTGGCTACAATGTAGCTTGCCATCACCAGTGTGTGAATGTGTGTGGGAATGGGTGGATGACTGGATGCAGTGTAAAGCGCTTTAGGGTCCGCTAAGTAAAGCGCTACACGAATACAGGCCATTTACCAGTTGGGGTGAGTTGGGAAAAAAACAACTCTTAAGGTACAGCATTACAGCTTGTTGATGGAAATGGGTGAAAGTGAGATCAGATGCAATTGATTGGTGCGTGTTACATTTGGTTTCTTTGGAGTTCTTAAAGGAGGTTGGGATGTATATTCAACTTTTTTACAAATGGGCGGCAGAGGGACAAGACCACGTTGTGTAATTACAACTGGTAGGGCTGGAGTAGGTTGGTTTGCCTTTCTGGGGCACGAATCATGCGAAAAGGCCTGGCAGTTGCGTAGATTCTGACACTGGCGAGGCGGGCCTCAAATTTTGCATTTTTGGCCTAATAGATGGCAAAGGAGTCTGTTGTGACTGTTGTCGTCCAACCATCTTTGAAATGGGCTGGACTTACTCATCTTGCTCAGATGTGATTTCCCTGCCTACATAGATATTAGGGGTGCAACAATACTCGTATCGATATTGAACCGTTCGATACAGTGCTTTCAGTTAGGTACGCATACTGTACGTTTATCCTACCATAAAACAATAAGACAAGGTACGACCTCTCCCATGCTCCCAGAGTGCTCTGGAATGCACACAAAGTTTGCAGAGTATTAAGGATCAAACCTCTACCAATCTACAACTTATTATAAAACTCTAAGCCTATAGAAGTAGATATTTCTAAGCATAAATGACAATCAACAATACAAAACCTAACAGGAAGAAGCAAGAAGAAAGAGTTAAGTAAAGTTTGACTTATCTGACTGTTTTGTTTCGCTTAATGCATTTTATGTGCCTTATGGTCCAAAAAATACGGTGTGTTAAATCTGATTGAACTAATCCCTTGTCTTCTGCACAGGATGGTGAAGGTAATTCTGTGCATGTCCAGGTTAAGGATAATGGCAACAGCACATACGCCTGCACCTACACCCCACGTAAGCCTGTGAAGCACACTGTGATGGTCTCCTGGGGAGACGTTCACATCCCCGAGAGTCCATTCAGGGTGAGTATGCACTCACACACGCTCTCACTTTCACTCTGGCATGCAGGGATTGTCTTTTCTTCTCACTGAGAAGTCTCTTGAGTTTTGGTGTTTGTGCCCACAGATGAATATCGGAGCTGAATATCGGAGCGGGCTGTCATCCGAACAAGGTGAAGGTCTCTGACCCTGGAGTGGCAAAGACGGGCCTCAAAGCCTTCGAGACAACATACTTCACTGTTGACTGCTCAGAGTCTGGTCAAGGTAAAGCTCCATAAAACTGTGTGTGTGAGAGTAAAGATATGATCATATGATCATGTCAAAGAAATATTCCAAACATGTTTATAAACAGATATTACAGGGAAACGTATTTAACCCACCTGCTGTTTGAGGCTAAAAATGACTGAAGAGCATTACCTGCAAAGGTAACATGCTAACACAGCCTTTGTCCTCTGCCATCAGGACAAAGGCTGTTTGTGTTTAGACTATAACAATGACACCCTTCAGGGTCAAAGTGGATCCTTCTCAAGGCAGAGGGACCAGGACTCAGCCGCAGTGGTAAGAATACCTGTACTGCCTCACAAAGTCAGAGAGTACTAACAAAAACAAGTCTGTTGAGTTTGTTTAGTTTGTTGGTCTATAATACGGTCGGAATGTTTTCCGTCATACTACATGGAACAACTCTTCATAACACTTTTATGAAAATGTTTGATGAAATTGACAAGATCAAAATTAAAATCACAATCGCACGGATTTAAAAAGAAGAATAAACATGAATAAACAGGGTTATAGTTGGTATGCTAATGTAAACAGGTCCTTTTGAGCTGTCATTTGAACTGTGTACCAGTCAAAGCAGTAGTAGCAGCAGGCTGTGAAAGACTTTGAAATCATCAACAACCACAACAACACACACACTGTTAAATATACACCTGTGCAACAGGCGAGAAAAGAAATGCTCACACATGCGGGCGTGGATTGTAGTTACTTTGTAGTTACTTTGTATTATGTGGGTTCTTATAAGACAAGGAAGCGTTCTTCTGGCTGTTATAAATCATATTAAATGGGAGGATGTGGATCGCTTCCCTTTCTCATGACAGGGTCCCCTGGGAGTTGCGTGACCTACAGTGGAGATCACATTCCCAAGAGCCCTTTCAGTGTCGTCGTGGCAGCCACACTGGACCTTAGCAAGGTCAAGGTGACAGGCCTGTGAGACAGTTTGTACCTCTGTCATTGTTCTTGTACATCCACACCTTCTGACACCAAACCTCAGCCTATATAAAGCCTAGTTATAACCTATGAAACTATTATTTGCTTTTAAATGTTTGCCTAAGCATGAATGTTTTTACGATGACTTTTTTTACCCCTTGTACAGTTGCCAGTATATTGATGTTTTAATTTAATTCTTTTAAATGAATCTAAGCTTTTCAAGCAGATCAGAGGTGTCAGTGTATTTTTCTTTGGTGTTCTCATCAAAGTGCTCATATACAGGTAAACATGTTCAATTCACGGAGCATCATTGGTTTTGGTCTCAATATTGCCTCTTCATCATGGCTTGTGGGTCAGGAGAAAGCAAACAGGCCATGAGGGACTATCAGAAAGTTCAGATCCAGCTGGAGAACCTGGAGATGAGTGTTTGAGACCGCTGTAAGAAGGAGTTCACAGGTAACTTCCTCTTTTTCTTCTGAACCGAGCTTTCGCTGTTGTGGCCCCCAGATTATGGAATAAGATGTCCATCCATATTAGGCTGGCCCCAAGACTTGAAATGTTCAAATCACTTTTAAAAACACCTTTTTTTCCAAAGGCTTTTTAGGAGTAGCACCAGAGTCAGCTTGTAGTCAGTTTTAGTCAGTGGATGGTCACTCTTAATCTTTTTTTGTTAATTTTATTCATTGTATATTTTAATGTCTATTTTTCTCATGTTTTATTATTTGATATATACTGATTTATTTTTTATCTTCTTTTTTCATTTATGTATTTATTTTATTGTTATTTAGATATTTTTCTTTGTCTGCTTAATGTGTGGTTTTTAACTGTTATCTCTGTTTTTTATTATTGGAAAGCACTTTGGTCAACTATGTTGTCTTTAAAGTGCTCTATGAATAAAGTTGGATTGGACTTTTACATCTTGTGACAGTAAGACGAAACCTTAATTCCTCTTTTTAGACTTGATGACAGAGATGATGGACATGTCCAATACTTTGCTGGGCTCTGGGATTGCTTTCCTGGATTATCACACATATGCTGAGCGCATTTTCTTCCCGGGGCACCAGGAGTCCCAACTGGGACAAGCTCTGGATGTTTCACAAAGTTGTAGGCAGACAGTTGAGCAAGGGCTGATTTCTTTGTCCAATTTGCTGAACAGTAAACTTTTTCTCACCAAGGTAAGCCTCCACAGCTGCCTTTGATTAAATCTTTATTTATGTATTTGTTTTATTTATGCCGCCTACATTTGCTGAGCAAGTCCCTACGCAGTCCACCGACATCAGAGTGTCTGACTTCATACATATCATACGTGTTGATTGACTGTTGGTTCTATTTTGTTGCTACTACTCTCCAATGTCAGCTTTACTGGTCTTGACATAAACGAGGAGGATTTTTCATACACAGATTAAGTAACTTCATATTCTCACCATTACAAAAATGCAGTAATCAGAAAAATCACTTACATTTTATTGGGAGTCAAATTAAAATAAAAAGGCAAGGTTAAAATAAACACCTTGTTGAAGATTGAGGGTAACCGGTAAGATTATTTGGCACAAAACAAGTTATGGAGAGAAGCTGAATCATTAGAAATATAGATGTTGAGGCGCTTCTGATTCTGTGATTGACATTAAGTTTATCATGTCACCATCATGACCATACCATGCTAGCTATATAAAGTCTCACCTATGACTCACCTTCAGCTGAAAACAGTCCTGGGATTTCTAGCAGCACTGTGTTTTTGAAAGTAGCTAATCAAACCTTGGCCTGCTC